GTTGTATTAATATGTTGTTATAATATAGCAGTTGAGAAATAATAAAAATCCTTAAGCCCGTTTCACATAGGCGCGTATCATATGCGACGTATCGTATGCACGCGTTTTTAGTTTACAATGATAAATTTACATGTCATACTGGCGAGAGAAACGTGTCAAACAGGCRCTTATGATACATCGCGTATGATACGCGTCCATTATGAAACAGCCCTTAGGTACATTTTTTTTCTACAAGTATTTAAAATTCAAAGATTTTTTTGTATTTATCATGGTAGGTTCCATGTAGATAACTCTTTAAAAAAGCCTAAAAAGTAATGATTCTGATATGATTGTTACTCAACTAATATTACCATCATATCCACTAAATAATGTATTTTATCAGATATTTTCCTTCTACTTATCATGATATATTTTTAATATGATACAATCACTATTTTTACACATATTTTACCTATTCTCTTAGTTATTGAAATTTAGTTTTTAGTGAAATTTCAATGAAACAAAAATTGTGGTACCTTTATATGAAAAATACATATTTGCATTTTGTAATTTAATAAAAATAAGATTGTTTTAGGTTTTATTGTTTATTTATAAATAATTATAATTTTTATTTTATTTTTTGTTTTCAGAGCTACTGTTACCTGCAAAGTTATCATCCGAATATTGTTTGTACTTATTAACAACATTTATTGTATACCTACATATTGTGTTTGGATGATTATATTCTTCCCTTTGCGGAAGATTCACCCAAATCTGTATTGGAAACTTGAAGGCTTATTTTTCCATTGGTTATTAGCAATGGTTTCTATGTGGTCTTGGTCAGCTGGTTATGATAGTAAGTAATATCTCTATTATCTTTTTACCTAAAAATTCACCACTCATGAAAACTTTGATTTTGGTCCAATGTTCTCCTCCCATTATCCCACTACTGATACAACAATATGTCTCATTTCTTCATTTATGTTTGATTCTATTAATTATTCACCTTCTATATCTATTGTTAGTATAAATTGTAAATATTCTTTTGGATAAAAATGAAAATAAAAAAATATATCTGCTGATTTTAACAGATCCAGTGTTGTATATCGAATGTGTACATCTGTACATTACTCAACTAAGTAGGAGAATAAAAGGCATAACAAAAAAATCAAAKACTTATTTTATAAAATATATTTTTTAATTATTTTAATTTTTTTATTTGTTAAACTGATCAATTTAACATTTTTAAAATTTGTTATACCTATTTAAATTTTTTTTTTTATTTTAGTTAATTAAATGTATTTTAATTTTATTTAAATTTTTTGTCTATAGTTGTTGAAATGGGTGATGATATTAGATTATGTTTGAATGATCGTACACTAGTTTTAGTTAATCATCAATCTACAGCGGATGTGCCAATGCTGATGACAAATTTTAATTCCAAGGCCGGTGTGTTGCCCAATATTATGTGGATCATGGACAGAATATTCAAGTTTACTAATTTTGGTATTGTTTCTATTATACATCAGGATTTTTTTATCTTGTCGGTAAGTTATTTTTTTTATTCTTTTAAATTCAAAAAATGTAATGTTCATAATTTATTTTTAATAGGGTAAGGATCAAAGAGAACAAGCTGTTAAAGAATTAAGGACTCACATTCGTGGATCATATTTGCCTCGTCAGCGAAAACTAATAATTTTATTTCCAGAAGGTGGATTTTTAAGAAAAAGACGAGAAGCTAGTCAAAGGTTAATTAACTCTATAATTTGATTATTTGTACGRATTGATAATTAACTAATTAATTTTAGGTATGCACAGAAAAACAATTTACCTTTACTAGAACATGTTACGTTACCAAGATTAGGAGCTTTTTCAGCAATCATTGATGAACTTTCACCAAAACAAACAAAATATGGTGGCGTGACAAACAATAATACTGAATTCAGTAAGCATTGATAATTTAAGTGTCTAGTACGAGAACCGGATGTCTTTACTTTTTTTTAAATTCATGTTTTTATATTTTTTGTTGAAAAATAACTTTGTCTACATTTTTGTGCAAAACCAGGTATCTCCATCCATCTATTAAATAAGATATAATACATGAATAGAGACTTCTGGTACAATAGTCACTTAATAATTTGTAAAACTCCATAAAYCAAACTAAACACTAAGTCCCATGAGAAAACCTCTATAATTAGAATAAAATACATGTATTTCAGTCTCCTTGATAATTCAAAATGTCTGTCAGTGGGACACACAAACCTCTATAATTCGAATCAAAATCTTGCTATTAGTAAGTTAGGCAACGTTATAAACTTGATTGTGGCCAGCAATTTTATTGCGAAAAAATAACAGATTTCTTTAATATATATAACTATATATATATAACTTAATAATATAATAAATAAATGTATTATGTACCATTTTTCACCACTCTTTAATTTGAATTAATTTTTTCCCTTGATTATTTGAACACTCAGTAAATCATAAATCTCCATAAATCGAAATTTTAACTTAGTCCCCTGAATTTTTAATTATCAAGTSACTACTGTATATAGAGTTCATAAGCTAAGTATTATTGTATGCGCTCCAATCAATTTTAAATTATGATTATAGCCAGTTCTAGTACTGGACCATTCAACTTATGTATAATAATATATATTATGCATATTTTAATTAATTTTAATTCTAAATTATTTAATTATGATATTAATTTTTAATTCTTAATAACTTCTTAAAAAAAAATAACTAAACAATATTAAGTTCTATATTTTAATATTTATTTTTTAAACATACAAAATAAATATTTAATAGTATCAAATGTTCATTAGTATAATATTAGGTTTGTAGAAAATTATTTTGTTGAGTACAATGTATATCATACTCTGGCTTATCATTTTATTATAAAATATCTAATATTCATTAATTATAAATTTGGTGAATATTTTTACACCAACATAGCATTACATTTTTTAATTTTAATATACTATTGTAGATGAAAATAGTGACAAATTAGCGTGGATTTTGGATATAACAGTTGCATACTCGGAAGGAAGGCCATTGGATTTACCCACTATCATTATGGGTCAGAGAAGAGCTTGCCGTACACATATGTATTACAGATTATTTCCCAGTTCACTTGTATGTTTACGTTAAAAAATAAAATTTTGATTGCATTAGTTWTGATAACTTAACATTTTTAGGTTCCTAGAGAACAAGAAGAAATGACTAAATGGTTGTTTGATCGCTGGGAAGAAAAAGAACGTCTTTTAGAGACATTTTATGCTACTGGTGAATTCCCGAGTCATAAAGGATCTCGTCAAACAGCTGTTATCCAACAGGATTGCGTACGGTTCCTTATATTACATCTATTTTTTATTGCATCATCATATGCTCACTACAGGATTATTCATTATTTGATTGGATTAGTATGGTAAATTTAAGGAAACAAGAAGAAATAAACAAAGAGAGGAAGAACGAACATTATTTTTGGTATTTTTTTTTGCATAGGTACATATTTTAACTATTTTATATATGTATTTCTATAAAATTATATAACAGCTGGTAATATAACCAATGAATAAATGTGATTGAACTCTAGGTCGTTATACAAAATAAACATTTTTATAAATAACATTAACATCTAAAAATATCACTTACAAACTAACTAAACTAAAAGTACGAACGAGTATAGTAACTGTGATTTAATTTTATGTTTCATATTTAAATTATTATGTAAACATCAATGTTTATTTTGTTTTCTTCTAACTATTGATTTTAATTTTCTTTTCTTTTTTTTTTTTGTAAATATTAATATTGTAATTTTAAGAAATATTATTTTAGTATTTTTCTTTTCTTTTCTCTTTCTTATATATATATATATATATAAATAGGCATATTTATATGTCATAGGTTCTGTATTTAAATGTAAAGTTTGATTTACTAATACATTTTTATGTTTTTTTTTTGAGATGAACCTTATGACATGTTGTGTTTGTGATTTGAAAATCAATTTCAATCAGGCCTCTGAACCTATAGGTTTGATGATTATATCTTGCACCTGAAATAAATTGTTTTAACTATTAAATTATAAAAAACTTGTACATTTAATATTTATTATTTTCTAATGTAAAACAATTTTGGAAAATTATTCTCCAAGGTTAGCGTAATATTTTGATGATAAATTAAAGCTTTGTATTTATTTTAATGCGTACAATTTTTTTTTGCCAACTTATATGTTTGCAAAATATCATGTTAAATATTAGTCTTCTGTGTTGTGACTGTGATAACATTTATATAATATATTATATTATATTTTATAGTATACGATTTATTCTTGTATTGTTATACATTTCACTTCAAATTTACATTTTACTTAACTAAAATTAATCACTGTACAGAAGACATTTGTAGAATGTAATCATCCATAGACTGTATTGTTTTCTTTACACTATGACATATTATTTTGTGAATCATTTTTGTTTTTTGTAATTTTGTATGTATACATATATACATTATACATATAAATATGTGTATGTATATATTATATTATACATTTTTCTCTGAAAACCCATTTTATACTGTTTTTTTTTTTTTTTTATATATATAATTATTATTCATTAAAACAAACTTTATTTCTTTTACTATAATTTTGCATTATTTGTATTTTATGTAAAAAATATATTTATACATTTTTGAGTGATTACAATTATTACAATGAAGATTTTTTATCACTATAAATAAGTGAAAGTAAAATGTATTTTGTTATCTATTGAATCAAAGTTGTGTTGAATTTTAAGAAATTTAATGAGTATAAATTACAACAGTTAAGGGAAGGTTTTTTTTTTAATTCTTGAAACTATTATACTTTTGATGAAACACTTATATGTTTTAAAATGAGTTCTATAAAAGGTCAAAATAAAAAAATAATAATTTCTTAACATTTAATTTTTTTTTACATTTATAAGTTATTTACTTATACTGTGTGTTCACCAATTTAGGAAACACTGAATTTCTCAGCCAGATTATAAGAGTCATATCAATTTTAATAAATAATCCATTACTTAAAACCATTTGTAATTATTTATTATTTTTTACTTTTTGAATATTTTGTTTCATAGTGCTTTAAAAGAGATTAACAAAATAATATGTGTATACAATTATTTATACTCATAGTTAATCTTGTTTATACTGTATATTATAGAGAAAAACAATATGTAAAAATTTTAAGAACATAATCAATAATAAGTAATTATAAATGGTTTTATGCATTTTAATTTTTAATAAATCTTAAAAATGTATTATTTATTAGAACTGAAATAGCTCTTATTCAGTCATTTTGGAATTTAGAACTATAATTGGTTCATAAAAATTACTTTAAAGAAATAGGCTTAACYGAATATGGTGTTCAAAATAGTTGTTGGCATTTAAAAAAATGTATATTTTATTGTTCATGCGCATATCCAAATGATAACAATTTTGAAATATATCTTTAAATGTGTATTTATATCTCATTAACTAGTGAAAAAAATTTGATATATTCCAATATAATCCGGCCAAAAACTCAGCTTTCGCTAAATTGGTGAACACCTACATATATTGTATGTTTGGCAATAATAACAAAATAAGTTAACATGCCTAATTTATAAATAAGCTGAATTGTATTTTTTGCATTTGATTTCATGAATATTAAAAAAAAATTGATAGAAATTGTATTACTTGTACGTGTGGAGGAGTGGCCAATACAAATTCAATGGTAGATGCTACATCTGATGGAGAGATGCTAGGGTAATTTTCATATAAATGTTTATCAAAACTTTCTCCCATTGAATTCTTGAAAATTGATGATTTCACAAGACCAGGACTGACACATGTGACTTTGATGGGGCTTTTCAATGCCCTTAATTCTTGTCGCAACCCTTCTGTGAGGGCTCGTACAGCATGTTTGGTTGCAGAATAGAAGTGGAATGGACCATATGAAGGAACATAATGCGCCAGATTACTAAGCTCAATATGAAACAGTAAGTTAAATAAACAGTTCAAAATTAAAATTAATAGTATAATTTTTTTTCTGTACCTGCTCAAATGAATTATGTGAGCGTCTTCCAAGTTGCGACTATTCATGGATCTCACTGCTTCACGTGAACAAACACTTAATGCTATAACATTAACGTCCAATATTCTTTTCCATTCCGATACAGTACCATCTATATTCAAAAGAAAAAAATATATATTTATATTTATTTAGAAAAATCAATTCTTTTTTAMCCACCACAATTGTATTTTACTTAAAAGCCTATTAATTYAATGTACTAACGAATCTATGTAGAATAATTTATTAATAATTTATTCCTACTAAAGAAAAAACACAATATCACTGTTTCCCATACTAACAATGACCTTCCTATTATTAAGAATTTTTATAAAGGTGTCGCTGGGCTCTAGATAAAGTCAAATTGTCAAATGGTTCATAAAAATAACAATTTAAACCCTKTTTACAATGTTTACACGTAGGTAGTCTGTATCAGAAATCAGAATTCTATAATTTAAAAATTAGATAATTGCAAGGTACCTATAGGATATAATTTTAATCCCTCCTGTATTTATCATTCTAGAGTTGCACTTATGTGTTTAATACTATTAATTACCTATATACATTATACAATATACATACTTATGCATTATATACCTARATTTACTAAGTTTACTAATTTTAATTGAAGAACCTATTTTGTAAGGTATCAATATTCCGTTAATACAAATGGGTCAGGTCAGATTTTCTGCTGCTCAATATACTTTAGAATCAATTTACATATACAGTATATTACTGGATTCYTAATGTAATAATATTATAAAGGTACCTATGTACTTTAAAGTTTTAAAGTCCTCGAAAAATTTGGAGATCAAACTTTCAGGCGTTAACTATTGGGGGTGAAGTGTTGGCAGAAGCTTTGGCGTATGAACGTTTTTGTTAGTGGTCGGAGCTGGAGGTTGATTTGTTTATAGACGGTATGGTGGGATTGAGCGTCGGATGACGATAAGTTTTGAGTAATTGAGATCTTCTGCGGTTTTCACTTAGTTTTTTAAACACGTGACATCCTTTATATGAGGCTGTGTGTGGCCACGAACATAAAGCACACTTGGTGGGTGCTGAGTTTTGACGGTGATTTGGTACAATCGACCGTGTAACGATAATCTCCACATTTGACGCCGCAACGKGGCAAAGATTAATAATGTGATAATAAGATTGACAATCATGGTATTTTAGAGGGGAGCGTTGTTTCTTGGGCAGCTCTATTTTGATTCTAGTGTGAAGGAGTAGATCTAATTTGAGAATATCGCTATTGTTTTCAGTAGCTTTTAAATCAATACGAAGAAGAGGCAGCGGTCTTTTAGTGATACGATGTAGAATATTAGAAACCCAAATAACTTCGTGACCTATATCAATAAGGCTGGCTTGTATGTCTTCTACAGCAGTGGACGGGTGGAGCAGTGGCGTATTTACGATTTTGGCGCCCTAGGTACACACATTTTGGCGCTCTTTTTTTCTCTCAGTTTCCTTCAACTCATAGCAAAAAATATTTTTAAATATAATATTAAAATACATAATTTATATACATATAATACATACACACATGACACACACACATACACACACACACATATGGTTAGGTTAGATTTATTACGTATATTACGAAGACGGTTTATCTGTCTAGGATATATTATAGATCATTAAAAATTTTCAAATCTTAGATTTAAAATAAATTTTTTTTATGAATTTCCAGCTTAAGATAATTTGAACATTGCCGTAATTTTTACGTATTTAATCAAAATTTAAACTTTAAATGCTTATAAAAAAAATCGTACTTATGTATTTTTAATATTTTTAAACTGCTATTGTTACAATGTGTTTGAAGCCTTGTGTTAAATTTTCAAGCTATTCTACTCAACAAATAAATTTTTATCGATATTTATAGAAAAAAAAACTAAAAAAGCTGAAAAATTAAAATG